TGCAGTTAATAATGGTCCTCTTACTCTTATGAGAACGTAGCCCCATAATTGTAGGAGGCCTACTCTGTTTACTAGTATATTTCTAGTTCTTAGCACAGTGCATTGCACAATATGATTGCATGAAATATCTTCTATGTAGTAGTTAAATAAAATGTAATCATTTTAATCAATTAAAAAGTCGTTTTTTCAAGTCTTAAAACCATAATTATATCCAGGTATATACTGGCAAATGTTTATGCCATGTTCTGTGAAATAAAATGTCATATGATTTGGATGCTGTGAGGATACCATATTAAAAACTAGTTAAGTTAAAATGTAATGTCTTATCATTTGATCTCCTTTTAACATACTTTAAAGCTGCTTCAGTTTTTTAAAAACAAGTGAAGGGGAAATCCTCATGGATTTAGTCCTTGGAGAATCCCCTCTGATCGTGGGCCAGCATTGTGAGTAGCCTGGCTGTCATGCAGCATGCATTGGAAAGTGGATTGATGCAGATTCAGTTAGGCTAAATTTAGCACCTTATCATTTGATCCCCTTTCTGAGGCATTCACATTTGTTCTAGTTTTTAATATTTTCTGCTTTCTCTTGTATTGAGGTTTTTATCTATTTTACTTTTATATTGTTGGTTTTTAAAAAGATTTTTCTGTATATGAAATCTAAGATAGGTAAATCTATAGAGAAAGTAACTGATTAATGGCTCCTTGGTGGTATGAGAGGGGTGGTTGGGGGAAAATGGGGAACTAATAAAGATGAGGACAAGAATGGAGAAAATCCTCTAAATCTGATTGTGGGGATGATTGTACAACTCTTTTTGAGGTAATCAAACTATTGTGTGGTCTGTGAATTACAGGCCAATAAGACCAAACAAACAGAAACAAATGGGAGCCCGCCTTTGGCTAGCTTCATCGCGGTGTTATTGCTACTACTCTTACTGCTGCTGGATGTCCGAAAATAGGCTAGAGGAATGAGTGCTGGCAGTAGCAGTGGCTGAGAGGACAAGTTTGGAACAAGAAGAGGAGAGGAGGGAGCATTGACTACCCAGCCCAGCTACTCTTTTGCCTGCCTGAGCAACAAAAACAGTCCAGGCTCTGCAGACCCCAACACCATTGACTTTCTACCTGTTGAACTAATTCCATAAAATATTCCCGAATGCATCTTTCTGTTTGTTTGAATACCCTTGCCAACAGAGAGAAAAATATTATACCATATATACTCGAGTATAAGCCAAGTTTTTCAGCACATTTTTAATGCAGTTTGTGGTAAAATTAGGTGCCTTGACTGATATTCGGGTTGGCTTATACTTGAGTATATAGGTAATTATTTTTGAATTGATATTAAAAGAGTATTTTGTTTTAATTCATATTTATTTTCTGTCTAGTTGAGGTTGTCATTTTTATTCATATTATTGATCAATTTAATTTTGAATGAATTTTCTATCTTTGCTTTTTTCATTTTTCTCATAGCTCTATTGAGATATTAGTGATATTTATTTTAGTAATTTGTAGGAAAACTATTAAAAACAATAACCTATTCTCCATGTGTATCTTCATGATATTCTCCTTTGATATATGAGGGATTCCACCATCACCCCTGGGAACTCCCACCCCCCCACCCCCCGCAAACCAGCAGAAATTTCTGCTGGGTAAAACTTTTGTAGTACTGTATTCATTTTTCCTGCTGGGCAAGCATCAAGAAACTCACTCTGAGCTATTGCACCCACTGGGGTCACCTGGGAAGGGTCTCTCTGGTCACAGTGAATTTTTTGTAAAAGCAATTTCTCTCAAACCTCGTGTTTTTGTGATAGCCAATTTAAGAGAACAGCATGCGGCTGTGAAATGTTGTTTCCTGCTCAGAAAAAAAAATGCTGCAGAAACTGTTGTGATGTTGAACATAGTTTACAAGAACACTGCTATGGGAAAAACTCAAGTGTACAAGTGGTTTTCTCATTTCAAA